TCCCGCTGAGCAGGGGGCCCCATGTGGGACTTGATCCCAGGACTCTTAAGATCATGACCTGAGCCGAAGGCAGACGCTTAACAACTGAGCCACCCAGGCGCCCCGGTATGTTAAGTTTAATGCACATAGTGTGCCTAGCACATGAGTCACTCAGTAAATGGTAGTGGAGCCATAAGTTGATTAGACCTTTAATTTTCTCTCTGGTCTTAAAGCATTTTGGGCTGGAAAAGTAGCAAGAACGAAAGTACATAAGGTAAGAACCTGCATGGTGCCATGGACGCATACAAGCAGTTTGGTGCTGCTGAAGGAAAAGTACAAAGCAAAGAATCGCTAGAGATAAGGCTGGAAAGGTCATTCTAGTGTATGGAAAGGAGCATCTTGTATACCATGCTTAAGAACTTATACTTTGTACTATATGCAGTGGAGAGCCAAAGACAATTTTTAAGGGAAAGGTAAGATCATATTCATGAGTTAGACACTACTGGCTGGAACTTAAAAGGGCAGTTTAGAGGGAAGAAAAAGCAAGAAGATAGGTTTGTTGGCTATAGAAATACTCTACACAGAAAAACTGAAGGCCCAGTGTAGGGTGGTGGGAGAGGAATGAGGAAGATGAGCAAGTCTGAGAAATACTCAAGAGGCAGGGCTTGATTCACCAGGGAGAGGGATGAGTTGGGAATGACTCCTAGGTTTCTGGCTTGGTGAATAGGTAAATGATGGTGTCATTAACTGAGAGAAGACAGAAAGCTAAGAAAATTTAGAAACAGGAAGATAATTCAGTTTTCAGCACATTGATTATGAGTGTCTATGGGGTGTCCAAATGGGTGTCTTTCACAAGCAAGTGGATATTAGAGTCTGCAGCCCAAGGGAAAGGTCAGGCCTGGAGATACAGACTTGGGAGGCATCAGTGTTGTCAGACGAGTGAGAGTTGATGAAATCATCCGAGGAAAGCAGAATGGAAAGAATTTTAATAAGCCATGGACCGCTAGAATATTGGGAAACATGAATATTTTTTTCATGTTGAGTGAGTGGAGAAGATAAAAGCCTAACAAGAAATGGAAGAGGACCAGTCATAGAACTGAGAGAAGAGTACGTTGGTCTCACCAAGTCAAATGTAGCATTTTACATAAACCAACCTTTCCAATATCACTAGGAGTCTCCCTTGGGTGTCTGGGTGGCTCAGTCATTTAACTCATCGGCCTTCAGCTCAGATCTTGATTCTGGAGTCCTGGGATCAAGCCCTACGTCCGGCTCCCTGCTCAGCAGGGAGTCTGCTTCTCCTTCTCCCTCTGCTTCTCTCCCCTGCTTGTGCTCTCTCTCAAATAAATAAAATTGGGTTTTGTTTTGTTTTGTTTTGTTTTGAAGTCTCCCTTGTTAGAGTGGAATGTCTTCAAGGTTGGGAACCTTGCACTCTCTTTCCATTTTGGACAGTTCATTTCTATTGTTACTGTTCACCAAGGCCAAGAGTTGTTGAGACTCTGAAGAAAAGAGGGATAAAATGGTGTTAAATACAGCAGAGTGAGCCAAGGAGTTAGACTGGATTTGGCAGTTTGAAAGCAGTTGCAGTAGAGGAAAAAAAGCCAGATTGTGGTGGGTTGAAAGTGAGTGGGAAGTAAGAAAGTAGAGAAAGCCAAGATTCTTATCTCAGAAGGAAGGGGAGAGAGAGGATGGTAGTTTCTTTTGGGGGTAGAGTTCTTTTCAGATTGATTGTTTTGCTCTAACTTTGCCTTGCTTTTCAGCTGATATTTTGTATATATGTGTATAGTGTATAGGTACCATATATGTATGTAAATGTATACAGTTTTAAAGTGAAGTAAGAAAAACTTTTTTTAGAAGAAATTATGGTATTATTACATTGAGCCTATTATCTGTGCTGTAACCTATTTTGATTAGGGCCATGTATGAATTTCTCCTGATTGTTTTTTACCTTCCTTCCCTATTGCCTTCACTCTTGGGGTCAGACTTGTCTTACCATCTAGTGGCCTTATTGGTTACCTCCCCATTCTCTCACGGGCATTGCCCCTAATAAAAATCTTTGCATGTTTAATCCCATCTTGGCATCAGCTTCTTGGAGAACCCCAACCAAGCTTCTGAAATGTTTAAATACAATAGACTTTTGGGGTAGCTAAAGGTTAGCATGACATAATTGACTGATTATTTAAAATTTTTTTTTTTTTTTACTCCAGGGGCGCCTGGGTGGCTCACTTGTTAGGCGTCTGCCTTCCGCTCAGGTCATGATCCCAGGGTCCTGGGATCGAGCCCTGCATCGGGCCTGCTGCTCAGCAGGGAAGCCTGCTTCTCCCTCTCCCTGCTTGTATTCCCTCTCTCACTGTCTCTCTCTCTGTGTCAAATAAATGAAATCTTTTAATAAATAAATAAATAAATAAAATTTACTCTGGGAGGTTTTTCTAAATGACTCTATTACAAACATAATTTGTAGATACTGAAAGAACTAATTCTTGCCTTCAGATTTACCGTCTTTTGTACGTATTATATCTTGAATAGATAGAATTTTTAGCACAAAAAAAATTTTGATCAACAGTTCTGGAATAGGAAGAAGAATTAAAGCCTAGACAAGTGCCTTGCTGGTGGACCACATTCTGTCTCTGATTTAACCTTCAGTATAACTAAAAAATAAGCTAAGTTAGAGGACAGAGGAGAAAATTAACATTTATATGGGGTAGAGGAGTTGGAATATTAGAATAAGAACTCTAAGGCTGGTATACTTCAAACCTACACCACTAAGCCAAGTTTCAGAATACCTGTGGGTGGGGGTTGTTGGTGGTGGTAATTTTTTTTTTAATTGAAGATAGAGAAATAAGCAATGTAGATTAAAAGTCCAAGACTAGGGGTGCCTGGCTGGCTCAGTTGGTAGAGCATGCAACTCTTGATCTTGGGGCTGTGAGTTCCAGCCCCATGTAGGGTGTAGAGTTTACTTTAAAAAAAAAAAAAAAGTTCATGACTAAAAGTCCTAGAGAACAAAGTCCAAAATTACCTCGGTCAGCTATTGCCCAGCTAGTCATCTGCTTTCATACTATGGGGCTGCAGAGTTAAACAGCAGTCCCCAAGACCACCCTCATTTCTGATACCAATCGCAAGTTTGGGTCCCCAAGACAACCCTCAGGTTTGATAATTTTGCTAGGATTCACAGAACTCATTGAAAGCTGTTATATTTTTGGTTATGGTTTATTGCAGTAAAAGAATTCCGATTAAAATTAGCCAACGAAAGAGATGTGTGGTGCATAGTCCAGGAGGTTTCCAAATGCAGAGCTCCATTTGTCCTCTTCCATGGACAGTGTTGACTCCTCCTGGCAACAAGATGTGACTATGCATGGAGTATGGCCAAGTAGGAAAGCTCACTTGATCCTTGATAGCCATAGTTTTTATTGGGGTTCCGTCACATAGATACTGTCAGCTGCTCTGTGACTGACCTCAGTCTCTAGCCCCTCGAGAGGTCAAACTGGTAATACATGACCCATAACCCCCACAATAAATTACATTGTTAGATTGTCTGATGTGACCCAAGACCCCAGATATAGGCAGGACATTCCACAGGCTTAGAGATTACCTCCCAGAAGCAGAGAGGACAAAGGCCAAGCCTCTCTTTGTGCAAAATTGTTTACTCCAAAGGGCCATAATACCTATCTCATAGGACAGTTGTGAAGATTGAATAAGAGATTGGATGGCAAATTTGCTCTGGTTTCTCTGTGTTTTCCAAGGTTACATGTAGCTAGTAATGGTGGAGCTAAGATTTGAACTCAGGACTTCTAATCCAAAGCTGATAGTATTTTTGCATTGTGTTTATTTAAAACTGCAAATAAAAAATGGAATGAAATGTGTTCATTCTATTTGACATTTACTTTGTTTTTTGTTTTTTTTTTAAGTAGGCTCCATGCCCAGTGTGGAGCCCAACATGGGACTTGAACTCACAGCCCTGAGAACAAGATCTGAGCTGAGATCACGAGTAGGACACTTAACTGACTGAGCCACCCAGGCACCTCCTATTTGACATCTAAATTATTGGTGGCTTTCAGTAGAGTATTGGAGGCTACCATCAAAGCCATATTATCGAGAATTGAGGAGTGATTGGAAAGATTAGAAAATGAGATGGTTGAGTATCAGACTGCTATTCTGAAAGTTTTGTCAAAGGAAAGGGGAAATGAGTATGAAGATAGAAGGGATGAAAGATTAAAGAGTAGGTTTTGGGGTGCCTGGCTGACTTGGTTGGTAGAGCATGTGACTCCATCTCGGGGTCCTGAGTTCAAGCCTCACGTGAGTTCAAGCCCCATATTGGGCGTAGAGATTACTTAAAAAAAAAAATAGGTTTTGATAATTTTTTTAAGATGAGAGCCTTCTGAACACGTACCATACTGTGACTATACTAGTTCCTTTGTGAATGCTGTCTCATTTAAGTCTCACTTGCATTGAAATAGAGGCTGTGTTTGGCTATAAAACTGAGGATTGTGTGAGCTTCCCTGGTTTTCATACTGTGTTTTGAAAAACCGAGGCTCAGAGAAGTTATGCAATATTGGTAATAAAATGAAGTAAAAAGAGTGCCTATTGCATTGGATTGTTAGGAGGATCCAGTGGGATAATCCTCGTAAAAAGTAAGATGAAATGTCAACGTTGGAGTCTTTCTCTTTAGGGGAGCCCCAAACCCTTATAACAGTGCTTAGCACATAGTAAGGTACTCAGTAAATGCTAGCTATTGCTATATATTTTTAAATTAATTTCCACTTAATAAAAATGAGTCTCATGAAATTCGGAGGCTAGCTATATAATGATTTCTATTCTGTTTCTTAAATTTTTCAAAACTGCTTTTCCCTAACCATCTAATTGTCACATTGGAAATAAAGTTGAAATGTATATTTATTCCTACACAATTAAAGTAATAATTCTGCATTAAGATATTTTTACTCACTAACTTTAAGTGTTACAGGTTCTTTTTCGTTTTATGTTTTATGCGTTCTTTTTTGGTTTATGTTTTTTCTTTTTAACTCTAGAATTAAATAGCCACCATGTCGAGCAAAAAGGCAAAGACCAAGACCACCAAGAAGCGCCCCCAGCGCGCAACATCCAATGTATTCGCCATGTTTGACCAGTCGCAGATTCAGGAGTTCAAAGAGGCCTTCAACATGATTGATCAGAACAGAGATGGTTTCATTGACAAGGAGGATTTGCATGATATGCTTGCTTCTCTAGGTAGGTTTTTATATTCTTTTTTTTTCATATCATTATTTTTAATGTCCAGCATTTACAATACGAGGGCCAGAGCTTTCTCCCCAATTCAAGTTTATAAATTCTCAATTGGCTTGTGGGGCCAATAGGGATACTTCTTGTCTAATCTGGTTTCTGGGAATACTTCATTCAGGTCCTCAATGGTCATCTGATCAAATGGAATTATGTTCCTCATCTTCTCCAGCTCTTTTTCATATTCCTCAATCCTGGCCTTTGAGAGAGACAAAAACTCAGCACAACTTTTCACATCTTCTTTTTCTTCAGCATCTACCTGAACAGTATATTTATCCTCTGGCACAGGAACCTTCAGGGCATTAAACTTCTTCTCAAAGTCATCTACCAAACCAACCTTTGCCACATTGGCCTTGTAGTAAGCCCAGTCGATAGCAGGTGGTTTCTCAGGGAGAGTAGCCAACCTGGAGGTAAGTGTCTCATTCCAGGATTTCAGGGAGTTAGCAATGGCCTTCTGGTTTTGGGGTATGATCTCCCCAAAAGCTACCCAGTCAATGGTTTTTAGAGCAAGTTTTCACGTAGCCACCTTGAGATCCTTCACCGACCCCGGCGGCCTAGAGTCCACAGCAGCCAGGTTTTTATATTCTTAATATGCCCACCTCCCAAAAATAATAATTCAGTGTTTTATGAATTATTTTTTGTGTGATGTGTAAGTATTTCTCTCCTTATCTCAAAGGTCCTAGTGAGAGATGTCTGGGTGGGAAGTGCCATATTGGGGTTGGCCAGTCATAAGAGGATTTTATTTATAATTTTTCTATAATTAAGGTAAAGAAAATATAAAGATACAAGATTTAAAGCAAACAGAAACTGCCCCTTTGTCATTTTGGTTATATGGGTGTTAATTTATTATTCCTTGTATGATTTTGTTGGTTTGTTGTGATCTTAAAAAGAAGGATGAGAGGGAAGGTTCCTCCACGTTCTGCCCCAAGTCAGCAGTGATTTTACACTGGGAATGGCAAGCCTAGGAGTTCTCTGTAGACTGGGCAGGGAAGGGGTGCAGGTCAGTTAGGCTCTACTCTCTGGAGTTTTCTTGTGCTTGATTGTTAGCCAGAAAGGGAAGTTAGGGGCCAGAGGGCAAAGAGAGAGGTTGTTGTTATTTTCCTCTTAGTAACCAGAACACAGTTTTGTTCCTCTATTTTTTTTTCTAACATGTTATTTTGAAAATGTTTAAGCCTACAAAAAGTTGAAAGAACAGTATGGTGACCATGCATACATCTTTTACCTAGATACACCAATTCTTAACATTTTGCAACATTTTCTTTATTCAGAGTGAGAGTAGAATGAGGATACTGAACTAAGTTACTGACTTGGAGGTAGGTTGGATCCCAGTGTTTTTCACACTTAGAATAGCTAAGTGTACTCTTTTGGGTGGGTCACTACTGAAGAAGGCCGTGGAGGAATATTGAAGGACTTAGTTGTATTACAAAGATTGAACACTCAGGGCACCTGGGTGGCTCAGTTGGTTAAGCGTCTCCCTTTGGCTCAGGTCATGATCTCAGGGTCCTGGGATTGAGCCCCGCATTGAGTCCCTCACCCACTCCCCCTGCTTGTGTTCCCTCTCGCTGTGTCTCTCTCTGTCAAATAAATAAATAAAATCTTAAAAAAATATAAAAATTAAAAATGTTCTTAATGCAAGTTAATTAAAAAAATAGTTCCATGATGTGGATGATGTAACTTAAAAATATACTGGGGAGCATAATAACAAAATAATTATGTATTGAAATTAGTTCTTTGTCCTTAAATGTTAAAATGTGAAATCTTATAGGGAAGAATCCAACTGATGCATACCTTGAGGCCATGATGAATGAGGCTCCAGGGCCCATAAATTTCACCATGTTCCTCACAATGTTTGGTGAGAAGTTAAATGGCACAGATCCAGAAGATGTCATCAGAAACGCTTTTGCTTGCTTTGATGAAGAAGCAACTGGTAAGTGCTCTTTGTTTGTTCATGCCCACCCTCATTCCAGACTACATGAAACACTTTTTAGAAAATGAAAAAGATGAGGGGCACCTGGGTGGCTCAGTTGGTTAAGCAACTGCCTTCGGCTCAGGTCATGATCCTGGAGTCCCGGGATCGAGTCCCACATCGGGCTCCCTGCTCAGCAGGGAGTCTGCTTCTCCCTCTGACCCTCTTCCCTCTCGTGCTCTCTGTCTCTCATTCTCTCTCTCTCTCAAATAAATAAATAAATAAATAATCTTTTAAGAAAATGAAAAAGATGAGTAAAATAGAACTTAAAAAAAAATGAATAAACTATCATTTATAATAGGATAATATGACCGAGAATGGGGAGGTCACAGGTATATGGGTCAGAAGGCTGCCCGGTTTGTGGTGTTAATCTTTGAATTTGGTTCAGAGCTTCCTGAAAGCCAAACGGAGAATTGTCTGTTAAATAGTATTTCTAGACAATGAAAACTACTTCTTCAAGTGACTGTAAATCTCACCAAAAAGTATAATTAACTAACTTGAACAGGTGAAATCTTTTTTTTTCCTCATTTTAAGAGTGTAAAGCCTAGCTATTCACATTTCTAACTCCTCTCATTTCCCCTTTCCTTCTCTCTCAACCCCTTCCTCAGCCACCCGCACACCTCGTCGGAGATACCTTGCACCCTCTTCCTGCTTCCTGTCTCTACCTGTCACAACTGCACCGTCCCTCGGGCACATTTGGTTTTTTTCCTGGGCAGCTGCCCTTTTTTTTTTTCTTTGCATCTGAAATATAGAGGGGTTTTTTTCCTCCTCTAGAAAACACTTGCTCCAAATTAATTTTGTAAGCATTATAATGTATTAAGTGAGCTTTTACAATGAAAGATGGGGCACCTGGGTGGCTCATTGTTAAGCATCCCACTCTTGGTTTCAGCTCGTCATGATCTCGGGGTCGTGAGATTGAGCCCCTTGTCGGGCTCCGTGCTCGGTGCAGAGTCTGCTTGAGATTTGCTCCTTCTCCCTCTGCCCCTCCCCTGCTCACACACTCTCTCTCTCAAATAAATAAATTAAATATTTTAAAAAACCTCTAAAATGAAAGAACTCTAAAAGTAATAGGCAGTTAGGAGACTGTTGCTGTCACCCTGGTAAGACACAAGGGCGGCTTGGACTCCAGTAAATAGTAGAGGGGGTGGCTGTAAAAAAAAAAACCTCTAAAATGAAAGAACTCTAAAAGTAATAGGCACGTAATAGCAATAACTCTAAAAGAACTCTAAAAGTATTGAAAGAACTCCAAAATTAATAATTATAAAAGCTTGGGTGGCTCAGTCGATTAAGCATCTGCCTTTGGCTCAGGTCATGATCCCAGAGGCCTGGGATCGAGCCCCACATCAGGCTCTCTGCTCAGCGGGGATCCTGCTTCTCTGCCCATCCCCTGGCTCGTTCTCTCTCTCTCTTTCTCAAATAAATAAATAAAATCTTAAAAAAAAAAAAGTAATAAGCAAACATAATGAAATAGTTAAATATTGCCTTAGTTCACTAATTTATTTTATACACGTAAATGTGGATATTCTGAAATACTTTGTAACACTGACCTAGTTTAGAAATGAACCATTAAAGTGCCAGGAAGTATTCGTGACCCCCTCCTCTCTACTGCCTTCCAGGCACCATCCAGGAAGATTACCTGAGAGAGCTGCTGACAACCATGGGAGATCGCTTTACAGACGAGGAAGTGGATGAGCTGTACAGAGAAGCGCCTATCGACAAAAAGGGAAATTTCAATTATATTGAGTTTACGCGCATCCTTAAACATGGAGCAAAAGACAAAGATGATTGAAAGAACTTTAGCTAAAACCTTCCAATTGCTTTGTCTTACTCCGTTTTATTTCCCAGACACTTTCCCCCACCCTCATAGACCTGTTGCATGCAACTTAGTTTCACAGCTTGGCCTCTTTTTTTTGATGTATTTATTCTAGACCTTTCTGCCACTTAGCACTTGTATAATCAAACTGCAAATGGGGTTGAGGTTGTAAATTGTGCTGAAAAAGAGATTGCGAATAAAAATCAACAAATGTGAAAGCCCAGGAAAATACATCCGGTATTTCTGGTTTTGCTGGATTTTTACACTTTTATATAATAAAAACACTATTTTGAAATAAAGATTATGCTGACTCAAATGGAATATAATGGAAAGTTAAACAAATAAGTGGTAGTTGGGGGTAGTCTTCTTTTTTTTCTTTCAGATTTTCAACTTCACATAATTCAAATTTCATGGTCAAGCTGATTTTTCACCTATGTAGGACAGTGTTCTTAAGAGCTAAGTACATATTAACATCATTATGCAGTAAAAACTTATTGCCTTTGTTCATGCTTTTAGTAAGTCAGATGTTTAAACTATTGAATGAAAATAGCGGATATATCTGAGAAAACATTTAACATTTTATGCATCTTAGAGTCTAAGAAGATGAGGCAAAATTCTGAAGAAAAGAATAGTTATTACTAACATTACTGTAATGATTTTTCCACTGAATCTATCCAATGACCTTGTGAGAGTTTTGTTAGTTCTGTGTTTCAGGTGGGGGAACTGAGCTCTGCAGTGTTGAGTGATTGAGTCACTAGAGTAAGTGAGAGGTGGGATTCCAACCTGGGGTGCCTAATTCCAGAGCTTATACTCCTGGAACCCTGTGCTGTCTTTGCAAAAAGCCCCAAATGCCTAAAAGGTCAAGACATTTCCATTACACTCTTAACACAATTTTGTAGTCATTAAAATTTGAAATAATTTGTGGAAATTATTTGAACAGAATTTCAGAAAAGTATCCCATTAAAAAATAGAAGACAAACAATTTTAATCAAGATTATATTTGAAGATAGTTCATGTGGTGTATAGACTAGACTAAAGCAAGGACTGGAACAGACAAGGCTGTTACAGAGCTCATTTAAAATCCTCAAGGCCAGCCAATGTGCAAAGTACAAGAGAAAAAGCTAAAAAAGGAAAAAAACCAAAATTTTCCCAATCTTGTTCAACATCTGTTCCCTCTCTTAAAAGTGTTGTATTGGTATTTTATCTGCTTCAAATGAATGCATTTTCATATCATTTAATATTTGTGCCTTAGAGCTTGGTGTGGTAGGCAAGTCCTGGTCATGTATTGCCACTTAATTTTTCTGGGCTTCCTTTTCATCGTCTTTAAAACGAGAGAGCAGTTCCACTGTGATGGTCCAGAGTGCTCACACTTCATAAGAGCTTTCACCTTTATTATCCAATCCTCACAGCACATGAGGTAGGTAGGGCAGGTGTTATTCCTGCTTTTTTAATGAGAACTGAAGTTTAGACAAGCCAAAGCACCTGTCCAAGCTTCAAGTCACCATGCAGCATCACACCAGGTGGAGAGTCACTGTATGTTTAAGGAAAAGGGAGAATCTACCATGATAATCTTGATCGTCGTTAAACCGAGACTGATCAGCCACTTGTTATGTGCCAGGCACTGTTGTAAGTGCTGGGGTTAACGGAGGCAGGACAAAGATGCCATCTGCCCTCCTGGAGTCCATATTCTCTGGTGAGAGCCAGGATCAGTGAGCCATATCACACAAGTACTGTGGGTTGAAGAACAGAGCAAGTGTGGCAGAGGGCCTTGGAGATGTGACATTCAGCAGAGATGTGCAGGACAAGAAGAGGTCCCTGTGTTTCCACTCAGAAGGCTCCTTTCAGGGCATGCTGTGGCAGGAGCACAGGGAGAGCATTGGACGAGGACATAGGATGGTATTTGCTGCTTAGTTGAAGTGTGGAATCATAGGGCTTAGGGAGGGAAGAAAGGTGAGTTAGGGTTCTGGAAACTTAACCTTGCCATTGTGTATAGAAAGGAGTGGCAAGATGAGAAGCAAGAAGGCTTCCAGTTTGGAGACTGTTGCTATCACCCAGGTAAGACGCAAGGGTGGCCTGGGCTCCAGAAATAGTAGAGGGAGTGGCTGTAAAATGCCTCTCCCGGTCTAGTTCCTCTGCTGCAACCCTGTCTGGCTGCTGTCTCTGGCATCATTCCAGCTGCCATCATTTTGATTTATTCTGTTGCTCTGCTTAAGGGCAGATTTGAAAGACTGGAAAAGAAGTTTTCAAGATTATAAAAAAATGCGGTGGTTTCTTAACATCTTACGTTGACGTGACCTATCCCATTCTGTTTTGTCCATAGGATCTCTGAATTTTAGAGAGTTGTGGAATCCAGTACTATAAGGGTTAGGACCTTGTACCTTTTTGGTGTTTACAATAAATACTGGTGATGATGGTGAAAACTCTCTAGTATCCTAACCTTTTTTGAGAACCACATGGTGATGATCTCTTAAGTTGACAATTGATCTTTTGGCTATCACACTAGGGATGTGTGGTTTAATCACATAGTTAAAACTGTACTGAATATTTGCTATGTACTAAGCATGTTACCCTACCACCCTTTGAGGTGGGTATTTTTATTATACCTGTCCTACACATGAGGCACTGAGGAGCAGAGAAGTAACTTACCAAGGTTACACAGCTGGGGGCAAAAACGGGGCTATACTTGGAGTCCAGCCAGTCCAGCTCCAGAACCTGCCCTCCCAGGAAAATGATTATTGGAAATAACAGCATTAGTTTCTTACCATCATAAAGAAGTTTCAAAACTCTGGGAGGTAGATCAGGTAGGCATTGTTAACCCATTTTACATTTGAGAATACTGAGTGGCAGAAGTTCCCTGACTTGCTCAGCTTGAGATAACTAGATGGTATCAGAGCTAAGACTAGCTTCTGAGCTTTTTGAGAGCTAGAGAGCTTCTCATTAAACCTATGGTTTCCTAATTAAATAACATCTGTAGCCTGACCAAAGTTTTTTTCTAATTTGTAAATTTATGTATACCATATATCATATATATGAAAGCCATTAATGTTTATAAAAATGAAATTATATTTAATTATACATTTAATGGATTATCTTTTCTAATAATTGCATTGAAGTAAATTTTAAAGTTCAGCAATACATATATGAATAAATACTTGAATAATGAATTTCCTTGATTGTAAATTGACTTTTAAAAAATATTTTAATGTTTTTGAAAACAGGATGTCTTATCAATGTATATATTTTAATATTGTTTATCCTGAAAAATAATTGTATCAGTGTTGCCACTCAAAATTGATAGGTCTTAAAAGATAAGAAACAGTCTTTGAAATATAAACGTATAAACTACTGAAAAATCTGGTATGAATAGCCTCTGTAAATATGTCATCTGGGAAATATGAACGAGGATGTGAAAGTCTATCACATACTGAAATTTTGAGAAAAGTTTTCTTGGACTGAAAAATGCTGAGGATCGCAGATTGCATACATCACACTCCCTTGTCATATGCAATTTTAGAGACAATAACCAGAAGTGTCACTAGATGGCACTATATTCTTAGTGCTGTCGTAACTTCTTCCTTAATGAACTTGAGAGTGATAAAGCAAGAGTATGAATATGTAGAGTATTAGTCCTAACAAAGCTGTAACATTGTCAAAATTGTTTCTTCAAGAGAAAGAATTAATAACAAAGTCTATTGCAGTGAAATTCATACTATTTTGTGAACCCCAAAATCCAGGGAGCAATCTCTCAGACTCCTTTTTACAATGTTGTATCATTCGTTCATTCATTGATTCATTGATTCAATCAATCATTCATCCACTTACAAATACTTGACTGTCCAGAAAATGCCAAGAGCTCAGCAAAGCTCTGGTTATTTTCACACTGAAGTAAGGACTTTTGTTGAAAGTAAGAAAGTAAGATTTTTTTGCTCTCGTAAGCCCTGAGTCCTCTATTTATTGACAGGGTCATCTTGTGCAAGTTAGTATTATTATCACTTCTGTTTTAGGGATGAGAAGACTGAGCCACAGAGCCAGTGGACGGGTATGAAAATACTTTGTAAAATCATGTTCTATATATGAATATTACTACTACCTCAAGAATGTTGAGAGCTGTTTCTATTAGTAGTTCTATATAATATACTCTGTTAAGTCACACAATCTAACCTTATTAAGATCAGCCCCAACACAAATGACCAGGAGACAGCTTCTTAGTGTAGCTGTTCCCTGCCTCTATCTATCTCTTGGAAATACTGTCAGAACCAAAAATGAATAGATCTGAAGTGTTTTGGCCGAAGGATACCAGGAATATGTTGTGCGGTGTGTATGAATGGGTGTGTTTAAGTATAAAAATTGTTTCCACAAGTCTTGCAGGAAGCTAACCTAATCTTTACTGCTCCTGCTTGTGTGCAGTTGATTTTGCTCCCATACAGTACTGCCTTTCAGACACCCGTTCTGAATGAACATGATGACGAAGCATATTTCCTCGTGGACGTTGCTAACCAGCACAGCAGAACTAAATGTGAATACTTTATTCACGTTTTGTAATAATCTGAGTGTAAATTAATGGCTCATTTTAGGTTAGGCTCATTGTACTTTTTCTCAAGTTATCTTATGTGTGACCTATTTATTCAGTTCTTATTTACTGAAGTGGACATTATTTCTGAGTGCTGTGGGCAACATAGAGATTCTGAGCCCACTTTCTAGAAGTGTCCGACTGCCTAGCACTCTGGATGCAGGTAATAAAGGTTAGTTCTCTCCCTTTCCCAGAACCCCAAACACAGCTGTGCTCTGTGGTTTTGGTGGGGCTACAGCTGATGGCCTAACAGCTCACCAAAGAGGTCGAAGATGGTTTTTACACAATGCTCTAACAATGATGCTTATTTTCCCAGCACTACCATTGTTTGCCTTCAAATCAGGAAACAATGGTAGCTAAGAACTCAAGCAAACAGGTGGCTCAGTCAGTGAAGCGTCTGCCTTGGGCTCAGGTCATGATCCCAGGGTCCTGGGATGGAGCCCCGCATCGGGCTCCCTGCTCAATGGGGAGCCTGCTCCTCCTGCCTGCCGCTCCCCCCTGCTTGTGCTCTCTCTGATAAATAAATAAAATCTTAAAAAAACACACACACACAAAAAAAAAACCTCAAGCAAACATGTTAAAAAGAAAAACCTCAATTTTAAAAGTTACATGGAAAATATTCAAGATTTCCTGCTTATTTTGGAGATAGTTAAAGAAATTCAGCATATTCTCTATGTTAGGTCCCTACCAGGTTATAAACAGTTGAAAGGTGGGTCCACTTGCTGAAAG